CAATTATAAAAGAAAATCAAACTTTTAAAAAGAAGGCAATCTCTAAAAGCTGAAAATGCAGTGAAACAAATTAACCTAACGTATATCCATCAGCACTGTTGCAAGTGTCTTTAAAACATAGTGATTTGACTGTCCATCCCTGAGGACAAAAATCACTGCAGAAAATTGTTTGTACTGTTTGCAGTAATTCTATTTTTGGTGATACTGTTGTATTCTGTGATGGTTGGGTATATAATGTGTGATAACGTAAATAGGTGATTATATAATAGAATAATTCTGTGATCCCCAGTATCCTTAAGAAGTAGGATTCTCAACTTAGGAGAAAGAAGATATAGATTTTAAAAAGAAAAGAAATAGAAGAAGTTTAAGTAAAAATACATTGTCCTGAATTTGAATTGGAAGTATCAATATGAACTTACAAATTAACTTATTTTTTAAAAAATTATTTCCTAGTTTCTTCCACTGAGAGACCCTAGAAACAGTAACGAACCCAGTAGCAAAGGACACTCTTATCTAGAATGTGGTTCTGAAATACCATTCTCCACTAAAAGGAACCAGGGTTCTTAGAGGAATGGCTGCTTCCAGATCTGGGACGGCTCACGAATAAGTTAGATTGGAAGATCTTTTCATACCAGCCAGCAAGAAAGTTCTCAAAGATGATTGAGTATGTTCAATGGACTCCAGAGCCAACTTTTAGGCTCCTGCTAACCACTGATGGGACAGTTTGAGCATTAATAAGAAAAATAACTATGATAGAATGAATAGAACACATTACATATATTTAAATCTATCCATTTGTGATAAGTCTATAATAATAAAAAAACTAATAGGTCACCATTACATGATGTTAGGGAGCCAACTCATTATTCTGAAAACTGGTAAATAAAGGGAAAGAAAGCACTTACTCTGTCTTTTTTAAACAAACTATCCCACTGGGTAACCAAAGAGTAAATGGAGGGTCGGGGAGGGAGGATTCTTTATAAAAGATTTCCTGCTAATAAAGGAGGAAGAAATGACAGAATTAGAATCTCGCTATTTTCAACCCCAAATGAACTAATGGATCTGGGCATTGTGCGTCAGAGGCTAACATTCCCGAGAGAGAGACAACTACACACCCCCTGTGAAGGAGTCTCACTGAAAAAAAAATCAAACCAGGAAATACAGAGAACAGAGCAACACGCTAACCTACACCATGGGGATGCAGTCAGCAAAATCCAGACTATGGCAAACTTCGCAGAACAAATGACCCAGTTCCTTCAACAAGTTTATTGTTAAGAGCAAGAGGAAAAAAGATAGCAGAAGGGAACCTGTGGGTTGAGTTGTGAAAGACATTATCAACCAACGGCAACGTGTAGGTCTGATGTGGATCCTGATTTTTAAAGGAAAAAAAACTGTATTAAAATATCTATGAGAGGGCCGGCCCGGTGGCGCACTGGATAAGTGCGCCGCTTGGGAAGCGCGGCGGCGCT